CAAGTTCTAGTTAAGAGTCGATTGGGCACTTACCGTTTTTTGGCAATGACTTGTCCTGTGCCGTCGTCCCAGCCACTGCTACGGATGTGGGCGTGGTTGGCGGATGTGGATGAAATGCGACCGATGTGGGTGGCAGCGGCGGCGCCGGTTGCTGCTGCTGCTGATGTTGTATCGGTTGTTGCTGCTGCCCAACGGAAACAGCCAATGAATTCTGCGAATGAATGTGCGACTGTTGGGCAGCATTCACAATGACAGGATGAAACGTTTGATGGCCGGCTGTGGATACTACAACATGTTGTTGTTGTTGCTGTTGCTGCTGCTGTTGTTGTTGTTGCTGGCTGCTGGAGATGCGTATGACGCTGGTCGCATGACCGTGACTGCTGCTGGGCGGCGCTGGTGGCGCTGGCAGCGCATTGAGATGAGCGGCAGGTGGTTGTTGTTGTTGCTGTTGTTGCTGTGGCGGCGGTGCATGCATTACCAGCGAAACGGCCGCCGTTTGTGGCGGTGGCGGTGGCGGTTGTTGACTGCTCTCCCAGCCATTGTTGTTGTTGTTGTTGTTTGCGTTGTACAATACCGGACTGGGTGTTGTCTTCCATTTGCTATCCAGCGGCACAGCAGCAACTGCTGTCACATGCTGTTGCTGTTGCTGCTGTTGCGACTGATTCGCAATGGGCGTAAAGAAATTTTGCCTATGATTAGACACGTTGACCGGGGAGTGGGCGATGGCGTTCAGCGGCGAGGCGCCAGCATGATTCACGGGTGATGTATACGATGGCGTTGCAGAGCGCGAGCTGCTCAGTGACACTGCGGAGTGAGAGAGTAGAAGGCACAAAATGAAAGAGATAGAAAGAGTGGAAGACAGGGAGAGGGAGAGGGGTAATTGTTAGACATTTGTTGCAAGCACAATAGTTTTCATATATAGTTATTATTACATAAGCACTGTAAATATAATTTAGCGCCCAGCTCAAAATCCTGGAACGCATTCATATTCGCTGCTGTTGCTGCTGCTGCTCCTCCTCCTCCTCCTCGTGCTCCTGCTGTTGCTGTCTACTGCGACTGCCGCCTGCCGTTTCTCAGTTAAGAACAAACACTTTGATTGGCATCACTTTCGGCACATATTTTCATTTTCTGTATTTAATTTGCTTGAAAACTTTTTGTCGTCGTTGTCACATTCGTTTTGTCTGCTGCATTCGCATCGGTATTCACTTTTTTCTTCTTTTTTTTTTTTGTATTTTATTTTATTTTATTTTTTTGCTTTTGCGCCGCTTTCTGTCTTCTTGCCTTGCCTTTGACAGTTTTCAACATAAAATGCGACGACGACGACGTCAAAAGAACAACCAGCAAGCACTTCAACTGAGCGGCCAGCGGCAGCATAAACTGAGCGCCGCTCTCTTTCTCTCTCTCTCTCTCGCAATCGTTAGTTGTGTTCGTTGGCTACGCTCTCATGCGCTCACTCGGTTTTTGGGCTCTTTGGGATCACGCTCACACTCACGCTCTTGTCGTCCATGTTTGTTTACCTGTTGTGTCGGTCTGTGCTTTGACTGTGTGGGTGCTGCTGCTTGTCTGTGTTTCTCTCTCATTGTGTGAGCGTGTGTTTACATATGTGTGTGTGTGTATGCGTGCGTGTGAGCGCGCTCTCTCAAGTGCATTTTTGTTTAGGTAAAAACGAATCACAGGCAGGGCAAATAACGAGAAAAGAAGAATCGTTGCGATCCGCACGCAGCGCGCTTTTGTTTCGGCTGCGCAGCATTGTTCGTTTCAAGTGGCTGCGACGCTGACGTCGCGTCGCTGCTTCGATCGCATGCAGGTGCATTGGAATGCGTGCGCGTCGCTGTTGCTGTCCACGTCGGCGTCGACGTCGCTGCGTCTGCATTTTACGCTTGCGTGTAAATCACGCTGCGGTCACACTTTCAAGTGGCTAGCTAACGTTGTTGTTATTATTATTGCTATTGCTGTTGCTGTTGTTGCTGCACGCACACCTCAAACAATAGCACCCCTGATCAGCCACGGCCCCGAGAACACCTTAACAAAACCAACGACCTTTGCCCAGAGCGCTGTGCGTGTGTGTGGGTTTACGTATGCATGTGTATGAAATGGTCAGCAGCGGCGCTGCCATAATAAAACTTTATGATAGGCATTTTTATAGAGAATTCGAAATGCATTCGAAACAATGTGAAAGTCTAGGCAACACCGACAACTTCATTGCACTACAAATTAGTTTGAGGTCTTCCAAATTTTTAGTATTCTTTACCTTTCGAAAGTAAGTCGTAATTGTTGTGATTTAAGTTAGAGAATAAATCTAAAATCTATCAATTAGTCATTAGTATTTGCTCAATTTGAATTATAAACATGTTTTCCATTATTTATATTCTGGAATATGATATATGATGAATACGCTTTATATTGTATATAATAGATATATCTAATAACAAAATTTTGCTTTTATAAATTACATACAAATTTAAAATGTTTTTTTTTTTTTTTTTTTTTTTTTTTTTTGTTTTTATACATATTTTTTATATTTCTTTAATCAATTTAAGGTATTTATCATATTTTTTATATATATATATATATATTTTATATTTCTTTTATCAATTTAAGGTATTTATCATATATTGGATTTGTATTATTTTGTGTATTGTATAAAAACATATATTTAAATATATATACATATTTCTAAAGAAATATTCGCAATTCAAATTGAGCAACCATTACTTAGTTGATTTCATTTTAAATTTTAATTAATTCTCAAGTTCCATTACAGCGCATTTGAAAGTCGCTCGTGCCGAAGCTAAACGCATATCTGCAGAAGCGCCGTGGAAAGCAGGCCAGAGAACAGCCTAGATGCAGCGAGAGGCTGCGCTACACAGTGATCTTAACTGTTTTGCAGCTGTGTGGGTAATTGCGTGAACACAGGCAGATTAACAGCTAAAGCTGGCGCTCATTTGGGCATTGAGAAGGAAACTCAGCTGAGGCTGGGAAAGCCAGCCTTGAAAATGAATGCGAGCTAACTATGAATAAATTTCAACAAAAAGAACAAAATAATGTAAACGTGTTGCTTTTATGATTCCAGTTCGAATGAGTAGTAGGAGGAGGAGAGTCGACAGCGACGGCGCAGCGGTGTCATAAAAAGTCAAGAGGTGTGAGTTGCACGTACCTAACATGGCGGCCACATCGGTCTCTTCCTGATCATACCGACCCGTGACCCGATAGTTGGGCGATGTTTCCGAATCGCGAGAGTTGTCCTCATCGTTTTGGGTTTTGCTGCTCGAACGGCTATCACTAAAGAGAGAGAGAGAGAGAGAGGGAGAGAGGGAGAGATAGATAAAGAGAGAGTCATGTTAAATATATATATAGAAAGACAGAGGGAGAGAGCATCAGCAATAGCTGAGCTGGTAAAGCTGTTAGGTTTATAGCCGCACCTGAGAAAACGACCCGGCCCCGTTGATGAGGGCAGCGCATTGTTGCCCTTCTGATTCAAATGTCTGGAACAAAAGCCGCGCCGCTGAGATTCTTTCATGCACAGCGTGCAGAGACGTCGCCATTGCTTGCCATTGTACTTCTTGCGCACTCCGGATTCCGATTCCACAATGTCGCCCTTCTTGAAGCGATGCGGCGTCGTTGCCTGAGATCTGTCAACGAAAATATTCTCCTTAATACACGTACACACACTCTCAAACATTGATATCCACATACATACACCGTAGATTTGTATATGTATGTGTGCTTGTATGTAATTAATAAAATTGCATTAAGGCAATGCTCAAAATACTTTAGCCAACAGGCTACAACCGCAGACAGCGCAGTCGACGCAAGCAGCGCTATAGACATGCCACTCTTAATAAGAAGACTCAAGAGAACATTGGCAAAAATTCTAAATATAACGGGAGTATTATATTTATAGATTAATATGATTGCGGTGCGCACAGGTGCAGAGCCGTTAATACCCTGCAGCTAAAAAAAATTGAGCGAAAGTTAGGATATAAAAAGATTGTTAATAAATATAGTAAACGAAATAACAGTTTCCACAATAGACTCAAGAGTATAGTAAATAGAAAATCATATTGGTTAATGGATATATATAAAAGAATATTAAATAGAGACTGGCTTAGTATACAGATGACTCCATTCGTTAAATGATATATTCAAAGAATATTAAATATGTATTTATCTATAAAAGATTCAATTCGTTAAATAAAATTTAAATATACTCAAAGAATATTATTGACTGTTAATGAGAAGAGTGTCAGAAACTATTCAGAATGTTCTCTGTATACTCAGAAGTTAGGAATGCGCTTTTATAATGTCCAGTGGTAAAATAAATATTAGTGGTTTCTTCCAAGAAGTAAGATAACTATTTCATGATAAACATGAAATATTATGCAAATGAAACATTTAAAAATATCGAAATAATAATTCACAAATTTATTTCTAGGAAACTCTCATTAGCACAAGAGCCAAACCCTTTCCTCTTCTCAACATTGCCGGCCTACCTTGGTGTTGCTGGATGAGATCGTGGTGTCAGCCTCTGATCGATTAAGCTGGATGTGCTGCCTCGACTCTGCATGCTGCTGCGCTTGCTGCAAGCGCTCATCTTCTCGGCATCCACGTCCCCGGCAGCCGGGGAGTAGTCGATGCCGACGCGCTTCAGCTCATCATCGGAGTCGTAGTCGTCGTAGCCGCGCTGCTGCTGCTGTTGTTGTTGCTGCTGCTGCTGCTGCTGCTGTTGCGCTGGCGATGGCACATGCATTTTCAGTTGTTGGTGGTGGTGGTGCTGCTGCTGCTGTCCATTGCTGCCCGGCGAGATCACAATGTCCGGCAGTCCATTGGCCTGCTGGTGCTCCACATGGCTCAGAGGCAGCGGCGGCGGTGGCACTGCGCCGCCCTGGAACGGCGACGTTGCAGCCGCTCGATAATACTCATGTTTCTGCAGTCCTCCATGACCAGCTGGGGGCGTGCTCGTGGGCAGCTTGCCATCGTAGCGTGTTGCCACAAAGGCCTTGGAATAGACGCCGCCGGTAGCCGGCTCCGATTTGCGTTTACCGCTCACAGTTGGCGTTGCCGCTGGCGCCAGCTCGTTCAGCTCATCCCACCAGGGCGGCAGCAGCAGGCGCAAATCAGCTCGACGCACAACTCTCGTATTGGGCTGTAAGAGAGGAGCCAGGAAAGGACAATAGAAAATACAGGTACTGCATATATATGGATGTATGTAGCATATATACGTATATGTAATAAATTATCCATTGATATCAGTGAATCGTCGTGGTTTCTTACCAATTCCTCATTGATCAATTGCACGGTATATTGCTTGGTTCCCTGGTTGATATCCATAATTATGCCCTCCACATAGACGAAGTCAACGGTGCGTCCCTCGAGACTTTGGCGCACACAGACCCGAGCGTCCAGCGTGATCTGTGGGAGGCGGGGATGATGCATTAGCTGATGGTCTTGAAGTGTGTGAGAGTGGGTGAGTTTAGTACTTACATCTGCCATGGGTGGGCTGGCGTCTAGTATCACATTGTAGCGTCCCTGCTGCAGCACATCCTGATACAGTTGCTGACCAAATTCGGAGGCATCGAATTTCACGAGTATTGAGGGGGGCGTTGTCGTGGGCGTGGCTGTGCCCTCGTGCACTTGCTGTATTTTGCCAGGTGCATAGCACTTGCCAACTTTGGCCAGGACACGCGTATTAGTCCATTCGCTGAGATCAAGTAGAGCAACAGGTTCGTGTTGTTGCTGTTGTTGCTGCTGCTGCTGCTGCTGCTGCTGTTGTTGCTGCTGCTGCTGCTGCTGTTCCTGTACATGTTGCTGATTGTGTGAGTTAAAGCTAAAACGATGTTGCCCCTGTTGGTGGTGCTGTTGATAGTAGACGGGCGTGTGTGTGCGCGAATGGTTGATTGCTGCATGACTGTTGCTGTTGCCGCTGCTGTTGCTGTTGCTACTGGCAACATGTTGCTTGTAAGTACTGGGCGCATGTTGCAGCGGTGAGGCGATTATAATACGTTGCTGCTGCTGCTGCTGCTGTTGCTGTTGCTGCTGTCTGATCTCATTGCTGTTGCCGGCGCCTGCACCTGCACCAGCACCTCCACAATTCATTGCTGACGGTGGACTGACAATCATATTGCGCAAAGCTAACGTATTTTGCTGCACGGCAGCAATATTGCCATTGGAGAGCGCATCGCTGTTGCCATTCGTCTCGGCGGGTTTCTGTTGCTTGTACAACGTATGCTGTTGCTGTTGTTGCTGTTGCTGCTGCTGTTGTTGTTGCTGTTGCTGCTGCTGCTGCTGTTGCTCATCTTTGTCCAGCTCAGCTGGATCAAATTTGCGCTTCTTGGGATGTTGGCGCGGCTGTGTGGGCTGCTGAGGTGTTGCTGCTGCTGCTGTCTGCAGCTGTAACTGTGGCTGGAACAACACATGTTGCTGCTGCTGTTGCTGAGGCTGCTGCGGCTGCTGCGGCTGCTGCTGCTGTGTATCAACTGTTGCTGCTGTAGTTGTTGCTGCTGTTGTTGTTGTTGCTGTTGGTATACCGGCGGCTGCAGTCGTTGGTATAACCATTGTATTGGCGGCAACAACAAAATGTTGCTGCTGCTGCTGATGGAGGTGTTTATTTGTTATGACATAAGTTTCGCCAGCGGCAACTGCTGCTGCTGCTGCTGCTGCTCCGGTGTGTGTTGCTGTTGCTGCTGTTCCATTGGCAGCGCTGAGCATCGTAGTTGCTGTTGCTCTCCTCGTTGTGGTCGTTCCAATTGTAGCAGCAACATGTGTGTGGCTTCTTCTTGTTGCTGGCGTCTCGTTGCGTTTGTTCCTAATATTGGCTAGTGTTGGTCGGCTTATTGCTCTCGCTAATACAATAGTTGCTGTCGCAATTGCTGTTCTTGTTGCAATTATTGTTATTGTTGTGCAACAATGGCGCTCGCAGCATTCGCAACATCATTTGGCATCACCGTCTGCAAATGGAAAACACAAATTGTTCATTAATCATGTGAAGTACTGTGGCAGCCATCCGACTGGTCGAAAACCCATTTCATAATTAGTGCAATTCACATCCTGACAATTCTCTGACATCCTTCGGCCATTGGCGCCTTTTGCCGGGTCAATAAATTTCAATCTCTGACCAAAAATACGCTGCGATACATACAAATATACACATACATATATAACTTGCTATGCCTATATGTTTGTGTATGCGTGTGCAAGTTATTGTGTGTGTGTGTGTGTGTGTGTGCGCTACGTCGACAACGGAAACATTTTAATTTACACAGTCGTCCAGGCGTGGTTGGGATCCTGGCGTAGGAGGCGTTTTTTCCTCTCGCGCAAAGAGTAAAAATAAAATGCTCGTATAAATGATACTTGAAACATTTTATACCAATGCCCATCAAAACGCCCACACAAATACACGTACACGCACACACACATACCTTCAGACTCATCTGCACAACAGCTCAGTACAGTTGCATACAAAGTCCAAATCATCTGGCAACCCCGCACAGAAAGAAGCAAACAGCTAAAAAGCTCGACAAACCAACTTGCCAGACAGTCAGACGTTGCGGGCGACGTCAAGTACAATGGGCCGTTTGGTGGTATTTTTGTATAAAATATATAAAATTTGTGACTTGCAGTTAAGCATAGGAAAATATATTTTACATACCGAGAATAGATGTATTTATATATTCACAATCAATCAATAATAATCGATAATTATTTTCAATCTATTTTCATTTTCGATAAATTAAAAAAAATTAAAAATTCGGCTTACTTAAATTTTATTTGAACTAATATTTTTTAACTTTTCATATTATTGACAATATTTTTATTTTAGGGTTTTTGATATATATATATGTTAACATAAAATTATAAGTCTATTCTATGATGATATCGTGTTTTGCGACTAATGTTTTTATATAACGTAAATAATTTCAGTAACACCGCAAGTTCAATTAATTTAAGCCTTAATTCGAATAGTTAGCTCCACTGTGCTTCGCTGCTGCAGCCTCGACTTTGACAAACTTGTGCGTCAGGCCTTCGACGAGTTGCCAACCACCGTCCACCGCCCACCGCCTACCGCCCACCTGCCGGGTAAAGAGTGGGTCGACAGAGGTCGGTCGACTTATATTTAGATTATTCGTTTGCACACGCCGACGCCGATGCCGACGCACAGAGTTACCAAGGAGGAAAAACGAATTGTGGTTTTCACATAAAAGACTATATTCAATAGAGGCAGAAAGCCAGTAATCAGTGTGCCGATAAGAAACTAGTTATTCAAGAACGAATCGCCAAGACAGGTGCGTAGCTACTTGATTGACTATTTGTTGCTATTTGCTGACTTAAGCAGCAGCCATTATTAAAATTCATTAGAATTAATATGATATAATAGTGATATCATTGAATATCCCTGCCTATCTAACTTTCTCACCACACACTCACACATTTAAATACGAATATCTGTTGCATACTCCCAGGCTGTACGTAAATATCTGCCACTGCACGTGCATGCATGCATGTGTGTGTGTGTGTGCATGGACCTTTACGTAAGCTGCTCGTTAGACAACTGCAGCGTTACCGTATTTTCTCAAAACCTGTGCAAATCGGTTTATCATTCACTTCACTCAAAACATTCAATCTTTCTCTCGCTCTATCACACTCGCCGCTGAGCTGTGTGTGTCGGCGTAATTGACGGAAATAACTGCCACGCCCATTGTGGGCGATGTGAATCAGCACGGCAACAACGTGAAAAAAGTGTTATACAAAAATATAGATGGAAAATGTAACATGGCAACAGGATCTATCGTAAGACGTTGTTGCTGCTGCTGCTGCTGCTGCGGCTGTTGCTGCTGTGAGGGACAAGTGCAATGATTGCTTTATTTTTATTTCATTTCTCTCTTTGGCTTTTTACAGCTTTTCTTTTCATTACTGTTGGTTGCCAGGCTGAATCGCCTTGCAGCTGTGTGGGTGTATAAGAGAGAGCGAGCCAGATAGAGAAAGAGAGAGCGTTTCTTATGCTGCGACTGCTTTTCATTCTCATTCTCTCTCCTTCTCCCTCTTCCTCTCCCTCTCTCTCTCGCTCTGCCTTTATTATTGTGTTTTGCATCAGCTATGAAGAAGCTTCTCCGTTTTATTGGTCAGCGTTCATAGGTAAAACAGCAATCTCTGTTGATTTTCCATGCCTGGGCGGGAGTTTGCTCTGCTTTGCACTGTAGCCGATGCGTGCTTAAGTAAATCTACCGTACGCCCGACTGGCTATTTGGTGTGACCTGCCCGGCTGCACTCCGCCGCCTTCTTTTCGAATGTGTCCAGTGCAACCAAGCCCGCTCGTCTGCCAATCATTCTGGGCTTTGCGTTAGCTCAGCTTCTGATACACTGCCGTTCCGACAGAGTTGACCCGCCCCATAACTGTTTGCACACGCTGAGCGAGTGTATTGCATTTTAACAAAAAAGCCTTTGGAGGAGCCCATGTTTGGCCTGCATATAACGGTTTCATTCTGGCCCCCCAAACCGTTCTATGTGCATAATAATTGAGGAATGATATACGTGTGTACATACAAAACATGCTTATTTATTTGGCCACTTCTGTTTCTGTTTGTGGCTGTGGGTCAGTCACAGTGCGCTCTATTCATTTCATGTTTTGACCATAGACCAAATTGTGATTATGTCTGTGTGTATTATTACAATTATCTATTCATTGTGCTTGGCGCCAGTCCAAAAAACCTGCGCTTGTCAATTTAAGTCGCTTCTATGCCCTGTAATTACCTAATATGATGACTGGATGATTGGAAGATTTCCTCAATGGTAGAGAGACTCAAAGAAATCAAGCAGCGCGTATTGAATACTCCATGAATATTAATATTCATTTGATTTCAACTAAGTAAAAGCAAATATAGAGTATACAGGGTATCTTACAGCACGGCATACTTTGCTGTTATAGCATTCATAGTCATTATACAACTGCAGTTGACATGGGTTCTTTGTTGCTTTTGCTGTTGTTGCCTATAGACATATTCAGATTTATGATATATAAATGCACTCACGCTCGTTACGAATGTGCGATTGATCTCAATGCAGTCATGATAAATTCTAAGCAAAGCAATTGCAGACGTAGCACACGCTTACACACACACTCACGTACACGTGCATATGTGTGCACACATTGTGTGTGATATTAATTTGTTATGAGTCGTATGAGTCGTAATTAGACTAGAGAGTTCTTTGAACCTTAACGGTAGTTGTTTTCGTATCGTGTTTTGGCGCCAAACGAAAGCGAAGCGAAGAGCAAAAGTGTAAATTGCACTCAGATAGACGCACAGACGGAGAGGCGCAATCGCTGCGCAAAAGAAAAACCAAAGCAGAGCCAAAAAATGCGAGCCGCAAATTAAATGCAGACGAAGCGGAGCGTGCGTTGTAGGCGCTGCTGCTATCGCTCCTTGCGTCCATCCTCCTCCCCATTTACACACTGCATTCGCCGCTAACGGCGCTGCGCGCACGCACTTACATTGACATACACACGGGCATACATGCATAAGCACACACACCCATACATGCATACAGGCGTGTACACGTACAGGCAGAGCAACGGTAGCAGTCTGCCCTGTGCTTGGCTGCTGCAAAGTCAGTAACCCCACTCGTTGACAGCGGCAGCAAACAGCAACAACAACAAAGGCAATGGGAGCAGCAGCAGCAGCACTAGCCGAAAGCGCGAGAGTGGGGCAGACAATAGCAGAAGCGGGAGGAAGCCAGAGAGAGAGAGAGAGAGAGAGAGATAGAGAGAGCGCGAGAGCAAGAGCGAACGCTCAGTTAGCATGCGAATTTGTGTGCTGTGATTTTTATGTTGTTGCCAACTCGTCAGAAGTCCTCCCATTCTCCATACAAACGACTGACGTAGCAACAAAACTCTTAGTCATTCAAAGCATAGCAAAATGGAAAAACTGCAGCGCAGCAGCAGCATTATCAAGTGAGAGTGAGATGATGATGATGTTGATGTGCGCAAATGTTTTTGAGGGACGGCGAGGGAGATCATCTACAGGCGCCGACCAAAACACACACCACGCTCGCCCACTCTCCGCATCTACACCTCCACCTTCAGCTCCTCCACGAAATCCCCCACCCAGCATCAGCAGAGCACACCCCACCCTTGAAAACAGAAAAGCGACAACACCGACGCCGCTCATTTGCGTAGAGTAAACGCAAACAAGTCGTGTATTATTCGTCCCATACGAGAGTCACACACATGCCCACATACACACGCGCACGCATGAATGCAATCCGCGGCGGCGGCGGCGGAACAGCGAGAGAGATAGAGAGAGAGTGAGAGAGAAGTTACTTTGGCGCGTGTAATGGTTACAAACAGTAGCTGTGAAAAAATAGTGTATATGCAAAATCAGAGTGTGTGGTAATCAATATTCAGATTAGCCGCACGCCTAAGTGATGTACGTCCAAACTGTTATTGGGCCCGTAAACTCTTCACATATTGTAATTTTAACACAATTAAGTCGTCGCAGCGGACACAAATATGTCGACACGTTTTATTAGCCATCAGTGTAGGTCAACTCGTTGCCTGTGAGCATGCAGTTTTATTATTGCTTCCCCTGCTGCTGCAGCAGCCTTTTACTCATTTTTAGCTTTTTGCCATGGCGTAAATTATTCGTATGCGCTGTGTTTGAGCTTATGTTGTAGTTGTTGTTGGCAAGTGCGGGCCGTACAAGTCGAAAAACAGAGGGAAAAAATTGAAAAAAAAAAAAAATAAAGCTGTATAGAAGAATGAAGACTGCCAGGGCGGAATGCGACGCTGATTAGAGGAGCAGTTTGGGGGTCGCAGTGCACACACAGCCGGTGCATGTATGCGTGCACAAGCGCATATGAATGTATAGGCGTGAGGGATATTTTGCGTGTGTGTGCGCTGGTCGGCTTTGCCTGCCTGGTAACGAGTATTGCGAGAAAAGTTAACTAAAACTTG